CCACTATTTTTTGTTTTGTTTTGTTTTTTTTATTTATTTATTTATTGGGGGGGGGGGTTCCAGAGCCGGGGTCGGGGGTGCCCACCCCCGGACCCTCGCAGCCCCGCCGAGGCCCTGGGCCTGGGGCTCGAAAACCTTGGCGATAATAGTAGGCTATGGTAGGAACATGGTGCCTGGGTTGGGTCAGAAGGGTTGTCTCAAGTAAGACCTTCGTCAGTGTAGAATCGGTGGAGACTGTCTAGGGAAGGCTCTAATGAATATTCGTCGTCTGACCAACTTGGGCTAGTGCTTATAGGAAAAAAACAACAAACGATCATGCTTGGCAATTGAAGTGACCATGCGACAAGGCTCGCTCGATAGTGCTTCAATTAGGGTCGGGAGAGCTTTGTCCTAACCAAGCGCTAGTGTCTGCAACCGTTGTCCGGTATATCCGAGATAGGGCCAACTAAGTACCCTCGTAGATGAGGAAGCAGAGGTTATGCTAAGGAAGCAGAAAGATGAGGTAGGTAGGGATTGAACTTGTGAGCACCCAAGAACTAAAAGAAAAAACCCAAAAAAAACGATTGCGTTGTTACGATTTCAGTTTCAAAATGCCCTTCTATCACAATTTCGCGAATGATGTGCCAAAAGCGAGGAAAATTGTAAATGCATTCAACCTAGCTTTAGGATCCGGTAGGGATGTGTATTATTTAAGGGATGCCTGAACTCAATTTTGAACTGAAATCGTGATTGCACTCGAGATACCCCATTTTAAAAATGTTGAAACATCCCCATTCAAACACTGAAAATTATGAACAATGCCCTACTTTTCCCTTTTGAAATTCCTTAGAATCGAGTTCCAACGATACCGAATACCTTTACTTTTGATAACAAGTGTTGAATCCATTGAAAATGGTAAAGTACGCCCCCCTTGTCCGAATATGTAATAATAATGGTTACCATCCAAACCTGTGTAGCATCGTGTTCGGGTTTAGTGACCGAACCCGAACGTTCGGGACCGAACGCAAACGAGCCCCGAAACTCCCTGAACGGGAACATAAAAATATTTTTTAAAAATAAGTTCTCCAAAAAATATGAAAAACTTAAAAAATATATATGGTATGTCAAATAATAATACAAACAACTTTTGCTTTGGAGATATGGTCAAATTCATAACCAAACTCGAGTTAAGAATGAAAAACAATTTATTATTATTATTATTATTATTATTTTTAATATGTTCGGCCGAACACGTTCGGGTGGCGTTCGGCCGAACACCCGAACATGTTCGGACGTTTGGAAAAGCTCTGAACATGTTCGGTGTGCTACACAGATCTAGACGTCCGCATCCCAATTGGGAACATCCGCGGCTGGATGTCCGAGCTGAAACTGATTTTTTTTTTTTTCTTTTTTTTTTTTTGTGAGAGAGAGAGAGAGAGAGAGAGAGAGAGAGAGAGAGAGAGAGAGAGAGAGAGAGAGGGGCAGAGAG